TATTGACGGTGCCGTCTCCTTCACCCATGACCACGCCGTGATCAATCTCACCCTCTGTGACGCTGGTGTCCAGTGTCACATTCAATGAGCTCAGTGGATCGCTGTCATCCTTGTAGAAATAAGCGCGTTCGGTAGGCTTTCCAATGCCATAGAAGCAATAGATCTTCAGGTTAGGGGCAAGAGGAAGCCGCGTCTCGAGCGGATTGATCCATTTCGCAGGGAGAAGTTGGTTGTCTTCAACTTCATGTCTGGTATGAGCGACACCTTGAGAGTAGCTACGTTGGAGCATGTCTTTATACCAGCCTTCTGTCTCGCTCCAGAGGAAAGGAAATGTCTCATCTACTGTTAGATTATGGCGTTTCGGCGCCGTAGTGTTCGTGTTTTTGTAGCGTACAAAGGAACCATAGCTAACGACCTGGTCCGGCTTGTCGTCAGGAGCCCAAGATTCGTTGCCCCAGACTAGATTACCGCCGATTGGAAGCATACTCGACACGCCAGGCATTCTACGAAAAATTTCAGCGCGTTCGGTTCGGCTGAGAAACTTCTCCAGACCATAGACGGCGAAAGCGTTAAGCTGTGCTGTGTCTTTCATCTCGCCTGACAGAACAGCTGGGAAGCCTTTGAGTGCTCCAAGCATGCAGCCGCTGATGTTGATCCAAGAGTCGACATGCTTTTCGACCCATGCCGGTCCGCCATTCCCATAGCCTTCGGCCTCGACCCAATGTAAGAAGTAATAAAGGACTTGAGACCCCATGCTGTGGGAGAGCAGAGTAACTTTCTTGCCAGAGACCGTTGACGCAACCTCGATGTGTGATTTCAGTCTCGTGAAATATTGATCCCGAACTTCCATATTCATGTACGAGAGTCTCCAGTCGTAAGCTGCCGTGAACGCGTTTGTAGGGTCGTATCCGATGGTAGCTAGATTCTCCAGAATTTTGTTCCATATCCAATAGCCCGTTATGAAGAAGTCTGTTGCGTCGAATCCCTGGGCAGCGCGTAACTTGACGCCAGGAGGATCCAAGCCAGTCTCCTTGTCCAGCATGATATTCCGCTTCCATCCAGCCTTGTCCAGTACCAAGGAGCGCATCATGGACCAAGATCCCCACAATCTCTTTCTGAAGTATTGGCGCTCATTCTGCTCAGTGCTCCAGCTCTCGAGACCAGTCGATATTACTCCAGGAATCATGATTACCGGGTGCACTGCTTCAACTCCTTCAGATTTGGCTTGTAACCCAATGGCGAATGAGTCGTACTGTACGGCAGCTTTCTCATCCTTCTATGCAGCCCTGTCAGCTATGGCTCGCAGTCCCATGGCACTTCTCGATCACGAACCTGAAAGTTTTTTGCCTCTCTGAGCATGCCGGCAGGCAGCACGTCGAAGATAGAGTCCATGTTCAGATCCTGGAGCATGGTAAGATCCACGTAGTCGTTGGAACCCACGAAGAAGACAGCTACTGCGAGGCCAAAAATGCCTCCTAGACCGAAAACCCATGCTGTCCGCCTCTTGCCGCCCTTTGGCTTCTTCACCAGATTCTCAAGCTTCCTATCGCCGAGTATGTGAAATTCGCCGTCTGTCTCCGGTGCTTCTGGTTTGCTGACCGTGGCGTCGGCCTTGTGGTTAGTCGCATCGCCCACATTTCTGCGACGCAGAAAATTCATGATATAAACATTGGCGTGAGGGAGGGCGACTCGTGGTGGTGTGCCTGGTGGCTCTCCACGGGCAACTTTGTTTATTTGATTTGGCCAGGGCGTGCGTCATGGCATGTGAATTGTTGAAGTGAACCCAAGTGGTATGGAGGTACCACCGCTACTAACACAACAGCAGAAACCATCTCAGGCTTCTTTTCTTATAGCCCGTGGATCAATAAGCTTGATACGCCACAGACTTGACTCTTGGCCGCTGGCGATGAGCCAGGATAAAGCTCCTCAGCCAAATGAGGGAGGTTTGCGTTATGTTCAGTACAAGCTGGAAAAGGAGCACATTTACCTCGATTCTATCAGGCAGCTGATTTCGAAAGACCTATCTGAACCCTACAGCATCTATGTCTACAGATACTTCTTGAATCAATGGGGAGATTTGTGCTACTTGGTACGAGACTTGGAAGACATCCATGGACACTTTCTCACAATAGACAGGCACTAGACGAAAACTCTGATGCGCTACGCGGCGTCGTTGTCTGCAAGCTTGAGAATCATAGAAGCGGAACGTACAGAGGGTACATAGCCATGTTGGCAACTGTACAGGAGTTCAGAGGGAAGGGAATCGCCACCAACTTGGTCAAATTGGCCATCGAAGCTATGAAGGCAAGAGATGCTGACGAGGTATATGCAATCACTATTGACGCATGGCCTTATATTCTGACTCGGCTCAGGTGGTGTTGGAAACCGAAGACAGTAATACAGCCTCTTTGAGACTGTACGAACGTCTGGGCTTTCTGAGAAGTAAAAAGCTACATCGATACTATCTCAACGGCAATACGGCCTTCAGGCTCGTCTTGTACCTCAAAGCAGGCACTGCTCTCAAAAGGCCGTCGAATATGTACGGAATAACAGAGCCTGGTCCTCCTCCAGAAGAGCCTGGTCCGATCTTTCCTCCTTGAAATCTTCAACTTCGAGTCATTCCACAAGCTGGTTAAGAACATCATACAGTCTTTAGTATCATAGCTCGAGGCTCGAGTTCTTCTTCGCTAGTGTCCGGCTGCTTGCTGGTCGACCCAAGGATTCGAAGATGGCAGTTCAGAAGCAACTGAAAGATCCCGTGTTTTCCTCAACCACCATATACGACTCCAAAAGGACACAGGATTCTCCGCAAACTGAGGTGCAGGCTATGACCATCTCCGAAGTCATATGTAAAATCAATTACAACTCTTGGACATGCCAGAGTTGGATTATTTGTGAAAGCGGAAAGTGGGCGAAAGTTTTTCAAAATATATACCTGATCACTGACTCATACCAATGATATTTCCAGCCCGTAAAGAAGTCGACTTGTTCGCGCCGAAGAATTTTATTCATGCCATAATTAGCAAGCTCGGCTCGTGTTCTAATTACTCCGCTGTGGGGTATATTAATCTGCGACCGGAAATTCTCGCCATTGGCACAACCCAGCAAGAAGGCTCGACCAGATGGAAACCTGGGAAGATACATCAGAAAGTTGACTTGCCAAACTTCCAACCTTCTGGATACGTTGATGATGTTAGCGATGTGGAAGAGTGCGGCTATTCTAGCCACGTTCTTGAACGTCGCGGCAACTGAAACAGCACCACCAGGACCGACCTCGTTCATTTCACCAGGGAATCCAATTCTTTACAATGGAACTTATTTTTCAGCAGATCCGGCCCCATTCGTCTACAATGATACTCTTTATATCCTGTGTGGAAGAGATGAGGCTACTGCAAGAGACAACGACTTCATCATGAAGGAATGGCAAGTGCTGAAGACATCTGATCCCGCCACAGGCGAGTGGACGCATTATCCAGCCATTGCTAAACCTAATGGAGTATTCAAGTGGGCTGGCGAAGAGCGAGCATATGCGTCTCAAATCGTTCCGGGCAAAAATGGGAAATTCTATATGTACTCTCCAGTTTTTCAAGCAAGAACTAGCGACAAAGATCCCTTTGCGGTAGGAGTCGCAATCTCGGATACACCTGTCGGACCATGGAAAGACCTTCATCCCGCTGGACCAGTCCTTTCGCAAACAGTTCCCCCACCAGGAAACACAATCCAGAACATTGATCCAACCGTGCTCATCGACACGGATGGAAAAATCTACATCTACTGGGGTACTTTCGGCCAACTGCGTGCCTACGAATTGAACTCCGATATGATCACACCCAAAGCCTCCACCTTGAAGACATTCGAACTCCCAGGCTTCTTCGAAGCAGCATGGCTGATGAAAAGGAATGATACATACTATCTACTATATGCAGCAAATACTGCTGGACCAGAATCACCTTGCACACCAACATCCTATCACGCCTGTCAAGCCTACGCCACTGCGTCCTCGCCCTTGGGACCATGGACCTACGGTGGCGTGTTACTCGACATCGTCTCCTCAACAACTTCTCATTCCGGTGCCGTCGAATTCAAAGGCCAATGGTACCTCGCCTACCACACCGCCGACGCCATCGGCTCAACGCACTTCCGACGCTCAGTAGCCTTGGACAAGCTCGATTTCGACGATTCCACTTCTCCACCAACAATCAAAAAGGTGATCCAAACGCATAGACCCCAACCCCCGCCCGCACCGACGCGAAATATCGCACCAAAAGCCGTTGCGAAAAGCGAGCAACCGGTACCAATTCAATACTGGATCAAAGCCGTCAACGATGGACGCGTGCGGAAAGACCCCTTGCCGCCAGAATACTGGTCTTCCTACGACGGGGATCTCTCTCCCGCTTCCGCGACTCTGACATTGACCTGGCCCTCCGAAGTGACCATATCCGGTACAGCAATAGCCTTCTTCGCGGATCAGCAGCCCGGTGCTAGCATCGGAGTCGCGCCGCCCAAGGCGTGGCATTTGGAGTACCTAGATGCTCGTGGGTCGTGGGTGAAGATTGCGGCGAGTTATTCGACGAAGGTGAGCGACACGCCTGCGGAGATCAGCTTTGGGAAGGAGATCAAGACGACGAGTGTCAAGGCGGTCTTTACGGCGAGTGGGGGGACGAAGAAGGCGGGGGTGGGGGTTAAGGAGTGGTTCGTTTATGCTCCTACTGCGCAATGAGATAGAGTGGGTATTCGAGTTTTGAGAGCGCTGTTGTTTATTGTAAGCCGCCGCGTTCTCTTACTCGCGTCCTCGTTAAGAAGAGCTTTGGATCGGTTTCGATATCTTGTCCTATTGATAGGTAAATTGTCCCTGATCCTCTCATAGCTAAGCAAAAATTCTTTACGGAATTCCATCACGCCATCATATCCTGCGAATTCTCTTTCTTGACATTCCACCATTCTCCACTTGCCTGATCTTAACCCAACCGTCCGACCGCAACCCCGTCTCAAATAACAGAGGCCAACTGGCCCAATGGCAAGGCGCTTGACTACGATTTAAACCTATCTGTGTAGGCTGACGGTATCAAGAGATTGTAGATTCGATTCCTTCGTTGGTCACGATATGTTTTTTGAATTCTTGAGCAGCCACACAGTTTTCAGTTTAGAGCTCTTATGGGCAGCCTCTCGACCTTTTGCAATTTGTGTGCAACTCGGATGCTCCTATGGTCCAGATGCAATACTAGGGTCATAGATCATCTGTATTGCATGAATGTCCACGGTTCTGATAGCCTACTTCATCAAGTCATCCAAAATCATTGTACACATACGCTTCAATCATACATAACCAGTGCCGAAACACCGCGTCACCCGCCTGGATGGTTGCCAATCAAAACTCCATTGCATCCCCTTCCTCCCTTTCCCTCTTAAAACCTCTCTCCTCCTTCAGTAACCCACTTACGAAAGCTTTGAAATAATCCACATACGGCTTCAATTTCGTCTTCTCCCAATCCGGCATCTTCTTCTCCGCTTGCTTTTCCTTTTCCATGTCCACATCATCCTTCTTATGCTCCCTATCATATTCATCGATCTGCCCTAACAATTGCGTAACAGTCGGCACCTCAAAGGGATCAAAATCATCCAGATTCCGCGTATCAATAGGCACACAAACCCTCCCAGTACCAGGATGCACACAAAACGGGCTCTTCAGCAAATGATTGAGCTTCTTGGAGACTTCGGCGTCGAGACGGGGGTAAGTGTATTCGAGGACGATTTCTTTTCTTGTGGCGACGACGGCTTTTGCGTCTTTTTGGTGTTTGAGGACGGTTTCGGCGACGGACTTGATGTCGGCCCATTTTCTTTCGCTGGACCGGCCGGGCGCGGAGTCCCATTTCTTTGCAAGCGCGTCGCGGAGGCCGGCGTCCGGCAGGCGGGTCAGGAGATCTGTTGCTGGTTTGTCTTCTAGCCATGGATCTTGGCCATCGAGGATGTCGGAATCGAAGTTGTTGACTAAAACGCGGTAGCTTCGGCTATTCCATGTTAGTTGAACTCTTCGATCACGGAGCGAAGAAGAATCTTACTCAATATGAGGATGCAGTGTCTTTTTCGTATGAAACTTCTTGCCACTTTTGTCTCCTCCTCTTAGCAATTCTAAGTAACCAGCAATTGCCTTCCTCCTCTTGTCGTCAAGTTCCCTGGCTTTCTTATCGCAGACCCAAGCGTGAGCACCACGTCGTCCGGAGTAAACCCATAGTATATGCTTAAACCCAAAGTCGGCCCTCAATGCTTTGTCGACCACATTGATTGCCATAGGGATCCACCTCCAGCACAATTTACAGATCTTAGCACCCGTGCAACACGTTCTGATGCCATCATAATCTGTCAAATCGATATCGAAGACCAACTCTTTACTCAAGGGTTTGAATGCCGCTGACTTCCTCAGGGTCTTTCGCTCGCGTGGATTGGAACTGTAAACAGGACCGATTTCGAAACGGGATGGGATCTGCTGCATGCATTGTTTCCTCAGCGCATCCGCGTCTTTGAAGGACTGGTATCGAAGATAAGCGTCATTTGGAAGTGTGAAGGCAAATTCTCTATTCGCGAAATCGTTTGTAGGCATGGCGGGATGATGGTTGAGCCATTGAAAAAGGTAGCGAAAAGGGAAAAGGCGTTGGTAGAAAGCTCGCATGGTTTCTGGATCCGTGGCGCCATTACTTGAAGTTTGAATGGGAAGTGTAGGTGCTTGAGGTATGCTCGAGGCAAATTCGTCGCTGTCCGAGTCGTCGTCGAAAAGGTCTTCTAGGTTTGCTTTGGCGGGTTCGGTCGCGTTGTCCTGAGCCGGTTGAGGAGCAGCAGTAGGAAGGTCGACCTCCATAAAAGATTCTGGGGATTCTGCGTGGGGCATCTTGTATGATGATTGCTGAATGTTGGATCGAGTGTATCTAGAGTTTCTGGCAACTGAGACGCGTCACGTCGCGACGCGAAGCACGGCAATTTACTAGCGTGATGACTTGTGTTCATTTCGGTATAACTTCGGATCAAAACTGTGCGTATGCCGTATACACATCGCCATCATTCCGAACCCGACGACTTCATACATCCAATTCCTGATTGGCTTCATGCTTCTAGGATCTCTCTTGATCGAATTCGCAACTCCAAACGGCCCCTAGAGAGTCGAATCATAAACTTGTATGTAACAGAGACTACAAACCTGATAGAATCTACAGAGCCATATCTTCAGATCAAGCGCAATACCTGCCATTTCGACCATTTGAAAGGCCTCGCTAGTCAAGACCGTGGCTCTAGCGATATACTGGGCTTGGAACATAGATCCACCGGAAGGTGTTAGATAGGATTTGTGGTGGTAGAGAGGTTTTGGCTGCGTCGCTCGTGGACAGCTTCGCTCAGAGGGTATAGAAATTTCGTGGATTTCCTGATAAGACGTACTTAGGATTGATTCTTCTTTTGATGAAGGGCACGCCTGCGGTTTCTGTTTCTAATGATCCTGATTCATGGCTAGAAGATGCAAATTTCCATTAGGCGCGGAGCTGATGAGAGTTCATAGAGTCTCTTTCCAGTGTTGGTCTTCGCATCTAAACGAAAAGCGACAATTCGATAATGCTAGCCTATTGGCGTGCCAGGAATCCAGCTGGATCGAGCTTTTACTGGCAATGACCAGTCTACGATCGATCCTAAACTCTTTCGCACGAGTGCATTTGCCGCCCCTGCCGGAGAATGATCAAATTATCCCAAAAATGACTTGGATATTTTGAACCAAGTTCGAGGTGTTGGAAAAAGGGACGTGAATCGATATCACCGCGTGAAGCAATCCCCTAGCTCTATTTAGCGCGTTGTTGTGGATCCACATTTTCGTCTCATCTTCTTTCGGATAGGAGTAGAAATCCAACTACATCGATCCAAGAACACTGTACTACCAATTATGTAATTCATTTGTATGTCCAGTTGACTGGCTCGTGATGAGATGGAGCACCTCGACTACCTCGACGACGAGTCGGACTTCTATGGTATTGGCATCGTGATTGCTTTGTTGACTTGAGCTTATCATCTATTCCCAGGTGATAAAGAGACACAAAGAAGATCGCTGCGGAAAATGAAAGAGCTCGATGTTCACCAATACTGGGCTAACCACGCGCACCTGATCAACGTCATTGCCATCAACAAGACCGTCTCAGACAAAGTCAAGGAGATCAGCTCAGAGGGAAAGACTTTGAACGTAATACCCATCAACCCCAAACCAAAGATGGCTGCCGTTCTAGACCCATATAATCCGCTGGCGCGTTTGGGTTGGGCGAAACAGCTTGGAGAGACTTCTTCTGAGTTTCTTCGACGCGTTCCTCCACTTACCACGCTCACTTCCGATGGCTGGATTTGGTGTGCCAACCCTTACGCGCGACGCGACAGGAAGCCCGAGGATCCCGATGAGGCCTATCTCGGTCGTATGAGACAGCTACTGTCTGCGTACATTGAGAAGAAGAACAAATTGGCGCAGCAGAATCCCACCATGGCTCCTGGCACTATCACGAGGAGGTTGCTATCGGACCGTGAACTTTTAAAGGAGGAGATACATGAAGGAGCCAAGAAGGCTAACATGACCTGCGGAAAGGTAGATACTATCCATCGAACGCGTCTGCCCTGCTAATGCATCCGAAGTGGATGTTGTTTCCAACCACAGAAGATATGCCCAGAGTCTGGCTTCAAACTGTCGAGGCCGTGTCCGCAGGAAAGCTCGGCGTCATGGCTAAGGTTGCAACAGAGTGCAAGCCTGGCTCAAACGATCGTCTGATATGCATCTACACGGAAGACTTCACCGATGCCGTTGATGTGCGAAAACAGCTCGAGACAATGGCTGACCTTCATCTCGTCCAGCGGCAGGGAGGCCGCCCTATCTACTACAAAGCCGATGTTTACACCTATCTCGATATTTATAGCGACAATCCTTACGGTCTCAAGGCATCTCAATACTCGAGTAAGGATATCTTCGCCGTGCCAGAGACGAAGATCAAGGCAGCAGAGTCCAAGCCACAGAAGAGACTCGTAGACGGCTCATCCTTCAAGACTAGGGAGTCGCCGTTCAAGAAACGTTGAAGATAGTCATCCACGCCCTTGGGAAGTATTACCAACAGGGAGCCAATCAAAATTCATACCAAGCCCGCAAGGTTTGTCAAGCCGTGCAGCCTTGTGTATTGAACGATCTAACTCGGGTGACCCAGGATTCAGGAAATCGGTTACATGCGTCGGCAAATGACTATGCTGGCGAAGCACCAAAGCTCATGGTACCAGTGACCCACCACGGTGAATGAATTGATATTACATGGCTTCGACTGGAGGATCTGCAGGTGGGAGGAACGCTTGCCAAATGATCTGGCGATTCCAGAACCTCCAATAAGTATCCTTAGTGTAGAATGGGAACGAAAGAGTGATTCATGCGATATCTCAAGCCCGGAAACCATGCCCTCTTGATTCGTACACGGCTATTAATCCTATAGTGTGGCGCAGTCGGAACAAGTAGTCAAAGCAGTTGCCCAAAATGTCGAGTCAAACAGATGGTGACTCCCTGATCTCGCGTCCTTGCTCTCGGCTAAAAGTGGACCAGGCCAACGTCGAAAAAGCTCACCTGCAAAAACCCTGCACACGACCTTCTCTCCAACTTCAATATCTTCGTCGCGACCTCACTTCGTCAAAATGTCCAAGCGCTGACTTCCTATTGTCAGGAGTGCTATTGTCCCAGCCTCCTGCTTTTTACCATTTCCGGACATCAATGCTTGCATCACCTACTTCTTCGCATAGCAACACCAAAAGTACCACCACTGCATATGTTCACGACTTTGGCAACACCGCCACCAATATTTGACACCAAACATCTCGGCTTTTGACAGCACGGCTGCGCTCTCCCGTTTCGTACGCTGAGCTCGCCTCTCATTCATGATAACAGTTCTCACTTCTCAAGGTATTTGGAGGTCGGATCGTTACGACCTTTTTGCGGGACACACATCTTCAATACTAAGGATCATCTGGTAGGGAACCATATTAGCACTCAATCAGGATGTATGACTCACTAACAAGAATTTTTGGGCCAGCATCACATCATGGCTCACCAACTA